GGCTCTGGGCCATGGGGAGCAGGAGGCTGTCAGACCGTTTGGGGGAGGCACGGCCCTCCACGTGGGGGCATGCATTTCTCCGCCCATTCAGAGCAGCGGTGGGGAGCGTGGGCTCTGGAACCATTCTGCCTGGGTCTGCATTCTGGTTCCGCAGAGACGAGCCATGTGACTCTGGGCAGACCACGTAACTGCTCTGCACCTCAGTTTCCCCGACTGTAAAGTGGGCATGTTCCTCCTTCATCGTTTCTTATGAGGATTAAGTAAGGCGACCCCCCACAGGCTCCTAGAACAGTAACTGGCCTTAGACATCACTCTGCCAGTGTTAGCCATCACCATGGTAACGATGACACAGACAGTGAAGGCCCTCGTCCCCCCAATCATCCCCCTTCCCAGCCGGGGGACCCGTCTTACTCGGAATGTTGACGGTTCTTCCTTTGCTCCGCATGACTTCGCCTCTGAGCGTTCCGTGTGGCTCTTTGGCGTGTGCGTGTCGATCTCCCCACCAGGTCCTGGCTTTGTGGAGGCAGGTCCAGCCCGTGGACTGCCCACCCGACTGGGAGGTGGACCGAGACCCGGATAAGGGAAGTGGGCGGGGCAGGCTGGAAGTGGGGCCTGGGAGTAGGCAGGTGACTTGGACACGCCCAGCAGCTGCGAGGGGATGTGCCCAGGAGGCCGAGGTCACTGCAGGGCCTGGCCAACCTCAGCAGGATGGGGTGGGGCCTGGGCCAGGTCCTTGGTTTTCTTTGCTCAGAGAGGCTGCTGGGCAGAGGGGCGGGTGGTCCCAGGGGGCTTGGTGTGGGGGTGTCACTGTTGTCAGGGGAGGAGGGAGTGCTCTGAGGTAGTTCCTCAGCTCGCACAGCCGCTCAGCGGACCCCTGATGACCCGCTGGGTTTGGCCACACAGCTGGCCGGACAGTGGACCCTGCCATAGCGCTTCCCGTGAGCCATCAGTGTCTCCCCTGCTCGCCGGGGGCTCTGTCAGGGCAGACTTCCTGTGGTCTCACTCACTGATGGCACACGGGAGGTGCCCAGCAGCTAATCTCGAATCAGTAAGCGGTCCGGGAGACTCTCTTTTTTTAAAAATATATTTTTATTGATTGATGTCAGAGAGGAAGGGAGAGGGAGAGGGAGAGAGAGAGAGAGAGAGAGAGAGAGAGAGAGAGAGAGACA